ATCTTGGTCCAAGGGCAGGTTTTTATTACTATCAGACAGCCGCGGGTTTGTTGATGTGGGCCCCCCTCTCTGAAGTAAGGACACGCTGTCGTTTACAACTGCTGCCGGCCCTCGCCATCGAAATCATTCTCGGGTCCGAGTCCCCCGGGACTCATGGCCATATTTTACTGTCTCAGATTCGAGACTCCCCCAATCTGGAGGTTCGGGTCCCCGTATTTATTTCCCCCCAGGAACAGGGTGACCCAGTTGTAAACCCAGGCACTGAGTTCCCTTTTCGTCGCATCCTATGACTCGCTGGGCTATGGTGGAGGTATTCGAACACGCCTCCACGCGGGGTTTGAAAACTACGTTCATCTACATAATATTTAAAACACTTGGCTCCTACCTCGCATAAAACATATTGCGTGACCTTTACAAAGACCAATCGGCTAATGCCGTTTGAGAAAGCAGTCGCTGTTTATTGCGAGAATCATATTAACACGTAAATACCCTGTGTGTGCAACATGCGGAGTTTAAAATGTTAAAGCAGGTGGTACATATATTTACCGCTGCGCTTTAGAGAATTAAATAATACTGGGGTATCAGTAACGTTTTCAATTTCAAAATAAGCATATGAGATGGACACAATCATGCATCCTTAATTCTCCCCAGCACAGAACATTATTACCTATAAGGCATCAGGAACACGACAACACTGTTATGTGCACGGTACAGCGTACGGAAGTTGGGAACCAGCTGATGTTGCCGACAAGAGTGGCACACGTGACATTCAATGGCAACAAATGCAACGAATATTAGGAACGTATTGTCACGTGAAGGGGTGACTATAGACGGGGTTTGGATCTGTAATCGGATTTGACTCTCATTGAGATTCATACTCCAAAGATCAATGTAACTACAACACATAAGTCTTTTCAGTCTTCACTAGCCGTTGTTTGGTAGCGGCTTCCAACGATGGAAGTTCCCCTTCCTCTGAGTTCCGGAATTGTCTCCGACCTCAGCCACCCGATTCTCACTTCTCACAACAGTAACAAAGTCAAAGTCATATTCCGACTGACGGTCAGTCAGTAAGTCCTGGTGTCGAGCTCCGGACCAGATATTTATTACTGTTTGACAGTTACGGTCTTGTTTTTGTGGGGCGCCCTCTCTGAAGAGAGGACGGGCCTGTCTTTTGTCAGAATCATTGTCTGCAGTAGTAAGTCATTTGTCATAATGTAAAAGATGTTTATATTTTACACGTTAAACATGTTAAAAACGTATAGTGTGTTCACAAAGTCCCTTCGGGGTTTTGAAAAATTGTGGCGCGCAAAAAAAACTGAGCTAGCCACATGTGGTTTGCGGCAGATCATAGTGAAACTCTGGAAGTTCTTTACTGACTAACAACACAGATAAAGTCTTCTTGATCTTCACTAGCCGTTGCTCGGTAGCGGCTTCCAACGGCAAACGTTCCCCTTCCTCTGGATTCTCGAACTATCTCCGGCCTGAGCTACGGCAACTCTCGACTAACTGACTGATTCACCAACCAACTACACTTCACTCAACTCAACTGACCCGACGCTAAATGTCCTGCTTATAATATCTTGGCATGGACAGCACAGAAAACACTGTTCCTCTGTTGCTGTTTACTGGCCGTTGTCTAGTCGTCTGTTTCGCGGTCGTCGCCTAGAAACGGGTGTACATCCCGCAGTACATAAAAATATGATTACCTTAAAACAGAATGAATAAGAAAGAGCTTCGCCACAAATATCAGTTTAAACAGTTTCTGCAAATGCAAATTTTATTTTACACAACCAGTCTTCTCTCTAAGATTTCTTCCGCCACTACCCTGAGCGAACCTGCCCTATACAAACTTCGAACATTCCAAGTGGCAAATCTCATATCCATTTTCTTTCGCTTATGTCGTGTATCCAAGGAATCCGTCCAGGCCCGAGGCTTTGCGTTCATTTTCGTAATATAATTATTTTTACGGTGAGGAGTTGTTAGCCGCACGCCCAACCCCCAAGCTGGAGGACCACCCCTTGTCGGCTGCCCGCAACTGCTTATTCAATATATTCGCAGCTTCCTTCATTTTTTCTATGGACAGGGGAATGAAACTCATGAATTAGGTACAGGTTCTTTTGTACATAAGAGAATCGGATCAGCAGTTAAGAGGGCAGAGTTCGTTAGTGATACGATATCATTTCATTCATCAGTAGTCTGTCAGACGACAGGTCCATATATAATATATCATATATAATACTAAAAGGTCGCTGGTGTTATATCATTGATATGAATGATCACGCCCCAACAGAAGATAAAATTGATAACATAAAAGATAAATTCTATGAAGAACTAGAACATGTATTTGATAAATTCCCGAAGTACCCTAGGAAAATTTTGTTAGGAGATTTCAATGCCAGAGTAGGGAGGGAACACATTTTTCAAACCAACAATTGGGAATGAGACTTTGCTTGAAATTAGTAATGATAATGGAGTTAGAGTAGTAAACTTTGCCACATCAAAAAATCTTACTGTCAAAAGTACAATGTTCCCACATCATAACATCCATAAATTTACTTGGACATCTGATGGGAAGATACACAATCAAATAGACCATATTTTGATAGACAGGACATGGCACTCAAGTACACTTGATGTCCGATCATTCAGGGCAGCAGATTGTGATACTGACCACTACCTGGTGGTGGCAAAGGTTAGGGAAAGACTGGCAGTGAGCAAACAAACAACACACAGAGTTCATATGGAGAGGTTCAATCTCAAGAAATTAAATGAGGTAGAGGGTAAAGAGAGTCTAGGTTATTATGAACCAAAGAAGCATAAGCCATGGTTCGATGACGGCTGCTCAAAATTGTTAGATTAAAGAAAGCAGGCCAAACTGCAATGGTTACAGGACCCAAGCGAGTTAAATGGGGATAATTTGAACAATACAAGACATGAAACCAGCAGGCATTTCAGGAACAAAAAGAGGGAATATCTGAAAGACAAAATTGATG